TCGGTTTTGAAAATATTTTCATTTTTATTACATTTTCTCCCTCCCCATTTCGAGAGACAGTAAAACGCGATGACACGTGTGATCTGATCCGCTCCTTCACTGCCAACGTGCGGGGGCTCCAAGTTCAACCTTGAGGTGGTTTTCAGTAAAACATCCGAAGCCGGCACGGTGCACGCAGGGAAGGGGTTTCGCCCGTCGAGTGTCGCCTGCAGAAGGGGCGGCACCCTCAGCTGCTGGTCGTCAAGGCCGACGTTGGCCAAAACTGGGTCACCAAAGCCCCCTGCGGCCAGCCGGCGACGGGTCCCCTGCAGAAGGGAACGGGGCCGGATTGACTGGGGTCTCACTGTCGGGGGCTCATCCTTCACATAAAATTAGTGTCGGGGTCTGGGGACAGGATGAACACACCTGTGCACATGGCCAGGCCCCGGGCGGAACTGGAGTAAAAGCCAAGCTCAGGACAGCGGCGGAGATCCTCTGCCGGGGAGGCGGCCGTGGCGCTGGTGACAGGCCTCCCGGTGGGAGCACCTGCGTGATCGATCTTCTTCCCATCGATCAGGCTGTTTTGACTTGCTTTCCGCTTCTTTTCGATGTGAAGAGTGTGACTGAAGCCGCTTCATCTTTCATGGCTGCACTCCTCTGCTCAGCTGACGGGCCCTCAGGAATAGGGGCCACGCATTCCCCCCACTCCGCATGCCTAGCTGCCTGCTGTTTCAGGGCCCTCGCGTCTGCCTGGCCCGGCGTGGCTCAGTGGTTGAGTGTCAACCTATGCACCAGGGGGTCACAGTTCGATTCTCGGTCAGGGCACTTGCCCAGGTTGTGGGCTCGAATCCTAATGGGGGGTGTGTAGGAGGCAGGCGCTCAATGATTCTCTCGTCATTGATGTTTCTCTCACCCTCTCCCTTCCTCTCTGAAATCAATTTAAATATATACATATATGTATACACACACACACACACTCACACCTATATATATATATAGCTCTAGAGTCTTTGCTCACCTAGTTTTTCTGCTTCCTTCCTTCTTTCTTCTTCTTCCTCTTCTTTTTTTTTTTTTTTTTTGAGAATAAGCCAATCTTTATTTCTCTTGCTCTTTAAGGCATCCGGATATTAAGTATATTTTTAAATGTTCCCCCATGAGCTGGGCTCCTCTCAGTGGAAGGGTCCGTGTTCCTGAAGGGAAACCCCGGCTGTGCTTTAGCTCTGCCCTGACATCCCCCTGTCTCTTGCGCGCTGGCTGTGGAAAGCCTTTGATCCGATCGCCCCGAGGTGAGCGTGTCCGTCTGACCGCCCGCAGCGCCGTCAGGCTGTGTGAAAACCGGTCCAGTGGGTGAGCGAGACGTGCTGTCTCGGTGCCGGCCGGTCCCGGTGCACCCAGGTCTGCTCAAGGCCCTTTTCACTGCGGACGCCCCACTAGGCCCTCGCGGGGCTCTGAGGTTGCGTCTGAATGAACCCACGTGAGACCTGAGCCGAGTGCCCCCCACCCCCAGAGGTCAGGAGAATCTGGAAACATCCATCGGACTAGTTATTTGAAAGTGTAAGGCTGTATCCTGTTAAATCTCACTTTAACTCTGTGGCTGCAACGAATGCATAAATGCGGCCTGGCTACTAGCGGGCTCCCACCCTCAAACCCTGACGACGAAGAGCCGTCCCTGCCAGCGACGGGGAAATCTCGTTGATAAAAAGGATTATTGCTGTAGATCCTTATCGTCTTCACACCGTTCATGTATGATATTCACTAACCAGGGCACTGCAGAGAAATTAAAGCAAATGTGACTAACCTCTCACAAAAAGCTTAGGGGCAACGAGTCTCCTAAGAATTGGGTAATGGGTTAAGATGTACAAAGTTCCAGCTACAAGATGCATCGATCATGAGGATGTAACGCACACCATGGCAACCACAGCTCATAACGCTGAATTGCATATTTCAAAGTTGCTAAGAGAGGAGATCTTAAACGTTCCCATCACACACAGAAACTTTGTAACCATGTGGTGATGGGTGTTCTTTAACTAGACTTATTGTGGTCATCATTTCGCAATGAGTGTCAACAAATTACCAAATCATCATGTTATACACCTGAACCTAGTATCATGTTACTTGTTAGTTATCTCAATAAAAAAGATGAAAAAAGCAATTGCATAACAGATAATTTTTTAAATGTTTTTCTCCCTCCCCTTAGAATTCCTTTCTTGAGTTGCATTGTTTAAGTAGCATGACAAAGCCTTTGGGGCCCTCCAATTAAAACACATGACGTGACTTATTCTGTTTGAGCTGAAACGGAACCTTTTAAAAATCAAAGGACGCGATGTAACGGAAAGCAAAGCAACCAGGCCATCCCGGTCCCTCAGGGTCACAAAAGAGCCTGAAGAATCAAGGGCCACCGTTTCAAGAGCCCTGACACAGGAACCTTCCATCAAAGCAGCCGCTCCACTCTCAGCAGAAGCCGCCTCCCCGCCACCTGCCCCCGGGCTTCTGGGAGCAAAGCGCTGAACACAGCAAAGTGAGGTGCAGCCAGAGGAGCGGCTCAGGCGCAGGAGTCACCGCACCCCCACCCCCGTCAGCCTGACCGCTGGGGCCGGAGGGGTGAGGGCCAGCACGGGTGATGGATTACTGGGCGCATTAGGGGCTGGAGACAGGCAGAGCCCTGGGCAGGTCCAGAGGCAGTAAAACCTGTCTATCGCACCTGCTTTGCCTCTCCCCGTCTTTGAGTTTTGTTGAGCCTCCCCTCAGCCCACCACCCCTGCAATTTCTGTCCTCAGAGTCTTCCTGCCTTTGAGGGAGCTCAGCCTTGTCCCAGATCCGGGATTCAGAGAGGGAGGGTGGCCTGGAATAGGCCCGGCGCCGCTGGCAAACAGGGACTCCTCCCTCGGGTGAAGGTGCATGTAGCTGCTCTCACCAGGTGCAGACAGGAAGGTGTCAGCGTGGATTCCGGGGACGTCATCTGTGCTATGAGGATGGTTTTCCTGTTCCAAGTAAGGAACTTATGGGGCTAACCAAGCCTTACGGGCCTCACCCCCCACTGCACCCCTGAACCGTCCCCTCCCGCACGCCACTCAGCACACAGCCCTACAGCACGGAGGGCAGGGGCCTCTGCAAACCGACACTTGTTCTCAGGGCTCTGTCTCATTCACTTTGTATCTGGAGGGTCCAGCAGAAGGCGTGGCCCCCTGCGAGGAGGAATCAGCCCCTCATAGGAGACTGGGGGGCTTATACCGGAAGGGGTGCCTCTGATGAGTGGGTGCAACTATACTCATCCGTCCATCCACTCATTCAGCTGCTCCCACCCGGTTCTACAGGATGTTACTGTGAAATGAAGCAGGCAGGCTCCTCCTCACAGAGAAGCAATCGGGGGAGGGGGTGATGCAGTCCGCCAGGGGCTGCAGGAGCGGAGGGGCCCCTAACTTTGACTTGGGGTGTCAGGGATAGACCCCTGAAAAGTGCGGTCTCTCTAAAGCCTGCAGGATGGTGTGGGGGGCAGGGAAGTCAGGGGCAGCGGGTAGGGAGGGTCCTGCTGACCCAGCTCAGTATTATCCGCGGCCTCTGCAACAAATCAGTCACTTGGTCAGTCGGAGCCTCAGTTTCTGCATCAGGAAAATGGGGAGAAGGGTGCTGGCTTCACTGGGTGGCTGTGGGGCTTAAGGAGATCATGTCTATTAAACATCCGCAGACTCTGTCCCCTTGATGCTCAGTGGGTGTCGGATGGATGAACGTGATTCCTGGCATAGGGGACGCCTCCATGACTCATCAGCTCAGTTTGCTCTCTATTAAAGCAGGGATCTAATACGTTGTGTGCGCACGTGAAATTCCAACCTAATATACAATGTATTTACCCTTCGTGAATGGAGTAAAACCCCAAATAGTTCGCATTCTTTGTGTTCAGCCGCTGATCTCAAAGTCGTTATTGCAGGTGCCAAGCCCTTCGCCTTGAACACTGTGGTTTAGCAAATGTAATACTAGACGAAGAGAGGAAGAGTTCCCCAAACACCAACTAATGGTGCAGGGATGTGCCAGAGGTGCCCCCCCCTCCCCCCAGGACTCTGGGAGGGCAGCTGGGCTCACCCCTGCCATCTCCCCTCCCCCTCCCGGCAGATCTCCTAAGAGGACAGGCTTTGCATTAAGGTTCCCGAATGGGGCCGTGGAGAAGGAGCAACTGAGCTGACTCCTCCGGCAGGGTCGGCTCCTGCCTAAACCACAGGGAAGGCGCACAGCGGAGAAGCCCACACATCCCCCTTAACCAGCAGGAGGCGGGACGCTTGGCGAGGGGAAAACCGGCGTGGGAGCTGTGTGTGTGCCAACGAGATGGCTTTGGACTGGACCGTAGAGCCATCGTTTTTGCCGGAGAGTCACGGTGCAGGCTGACCGCGCCCCTCCCTGTCGGGTCCCTGGACGGGCACAGGCCATCCCCGCGGGCCTAGCACCGAGCCCAGGACACAGCTGGCACCGGGAAGCGTAGTGAACGCAGCACATTTATTAGGACACGTGTGGCCCAGCTCCTGTGGCACCTGTGGAGCTTGCTCATTCCTCTCCACCCAGAGTCCAGTCCTGAACGAGAAAGGTGCTCTCCCAGAATCACTGGAAATCCCTGGCCTTTGCCTGTCAGGGAGGCGCTGTCCTCATCCAGCTGCCCTTCTCCCCTCCCCCTCCGGCAGCCTCGGCCTTAGGAAGCCCCCCTTGAACATTAGGAAGCCCCTCTTACACATCCCAGTGCACACAGCGGTGAGGGTGAGGGGCGGCTGAGCCCCAGCCTGTCCTCCCTTTAAGGGAACATGGGCCCAGGTCCGAGCACTGGGAAGGCAGCAGGAGCAGGGCAGCTCACCTGCCCTGAGTGGCCTCCGGGAGAGGGGCCTGCGACAGGCCAGGGCACCCAGAGGCCGGCACTGCGCAGCTCAGTGCCATTGGGACTCTGTGTCCCTCGGGCCCTGACCTCTGGGGTTGTCACCAGACGGGATGGACACTTCCATCAGCGCCTCTGGACAGGACACGGGGACAGTCCCAGGCTCCCTTCAAACTCCAGTCCCTTCCCGGCTGTAGACCAAGTGACTGACCCTGAAGCCGGCGGCCGCGGTCTGGAGGCCCGTGGGGCGGCCTGGGGAGGGGCCAGGGGGCTGGGGGCCGTCCACCGCCGCGGGTCGTGGGAAAGAAAGGTCGCCCGCCGCTCCCCCGGGGAAGGCGCCCAGGCCGCCAGCCAGGGCACCCATGGCCGAGGCGAAGCCCGAGAAGCAGGTGGCCGCCTCGGAAGCGGTCGGGGACGCGGGGGCCTGCGGGTCCGGGGACCCCGCGCCCAGAGCATCCAGCACAGGCGCCCGGGCAACTCCCGGACCCCGGGCTCCCGGGAGCGCCGCGCCCGCCTCCCCGCGCCTCCTGCGCTTCCGTCGGAAGTTCCCGTGGTCGAACATCTTCTCGCAGTTGGGGTCCAGGGTCCAGTAGTTGCCTTTGCCTGTGGAGGGAGAGCCCCGCTCAGAGAACCTGGGGTTGGGAGCCGCAGTGGGAGCGTGAGAGATGGAGGCGGCTTTGGGAAGATTCCCGGCCCCACCTATAGCCCCCCCCTCCCCTCCCCGGTCCTCCCCTTACCCTCCCTTCCCCTCCCCTCCCTTCCCCTTCCTCTAGCCTCGGGGAGGCACTTTGTGCGGGTAGGACGGGCCTCCGCAGCCGGGCTGGGGAGAGTTTGGACTTTACAGGAAAAGGGGGAAGGGCGACCCCCAGGAACTACTGAGGCCCCCTAAGCCCCGGGGCAGAGACAAAGCGCACGGGGCGCAGAGCAGGTCCCAGCGCGTCCCCAAGCGGCGCCTCCTCTGCCTGCAAGCCCCTGGGGTCGGCACTGTCTCCCCGTTTACAGAAGGGACCCCAGGCCCAGAGAAGGGACTAGAAGGGTTCCCCGCCGGCTAGCGCGGGCACGAGAGCGCGCAGGGGTTTCCAGACGCACGGAGGACCCGACCTGGGTCAGGGCCTGCGCTTCTGCCCGCAGCCCGGCTCGCCTCTCCCCGCCTCTCCCCGCCCCTCCCCGCCCCTTCCCGCTTCTCCCCATCCGGCCTCAGGATCCCCCTGGCACAGTGAGGGCTGCCCGTCCAAGACAGCCCCCCGCCCCCCCAACTCCAGGGCCGGGAGCCGGGCCGAGGGAACTGGCGGCGCCCGACGGGCAGCCCCGCCCGGTACCTGGGTCGCCCTCGCCGCGGGGCACCTTCCTGAAGCAGTCGTTGAGCGAGAGGTTGTGGCGGATGGAGTTCTGCCAGCCCGCCTGGCTGCGCCGGTAGAAGGGGAAGTTGCCGGCCACGAACTGGTAGATCTGGCTGAGCGTCAGCCGGCGCAGCGGCGCGCTCTGGATGGCCATGGCGATGAGCGCGGAGTAGGAGTAGGGCGGCCGCACCAGCCTCAGCAGCTCCTGCTGCCCCGGGAGGCCCAGCCAGGCCAGGTCCGCGCCCGCCAGGCCGCCCGGGGCGCCCAGGAGCGGGCCCGGGGCGGTGTAGCTGGGGGGCGCGTAGGGCGCGGGACCGAGAGCCGGAGTGTTCAGCCACAGGCGCGGGCCAACGCCCGCTGCGCCCGGGTCCCTGCGCCCGTAGCCCGTGGGGTGCGAGGCTGCCGGGGCCTGGCTGTGCGGGGCCGGGCAGGCCCCCAAGCCGTCGCAGTATGTGGCCATGTCCGGCCGCTCCCGGGCCTGGCCGGGCGGCTCTGACCCCAAGCTCATGGGCGCCTCATCCAGCGCAGCGCAGCCCTGGCCTCGCCCTTTAAATGCCGTCGGGGCCGGGCAGGTGAGGGTGGGTGCGGAGCCTCCTGGGACACCCGCATTGGAGAGGGCGGTCTCTGCCTCTGCCCCAGGTCAGCTTTCCGCCCCGCCCTGGTCCCCACCTGCTCCCGGGAGCAGGGAGCGGCTCCAAGAACGCCCCACCCCTTGCCTCCTGCTCCCAGAGCCAAGTCGCTCAGGACCTCTGCCATGGGCGCCCGGGGTCCCTGGATCCACCGACCCGCCTCGTCAACCCCACGGCCCCGTTGCCCTGGACACTCAGGCAGGCCCTGCGGGTTGCAGCCCCCTCGCTCTCCCATGGGGAACGCTGCCCCCCCCAATCCCTCCCCGCCTCGGGGGCTGCAGTGCGGGCCAAGGAGCCCCGATGACGTCCACTTATGTGGCAGGGCTGGGGCCACCAGGAGGGGCGATGCGGCCTGGCTGGACGGGGACTGGCACGGGAGTCAAATGGAGTGCCCGCGTGGCCTGAAAACGAACCAGACCCCTGAAGGGTGGAGACTCTGGAAGCTCGGGACCCCCACGGTCCTGAAGAACCTTTGCTTTTCCAAAGCCCAGGGAGCGGGACCCCCTGGTTTGTCTGCGAGGAGGCCTTGGGGGCTGAGCGCAGGGCTGGCAACACCCTCCACGCTTTTCCCAGGCCGGCCCCGCAGCGTGCGCCCGACTCCATCCCCAGCAGCAGCAGGACATGGACATGGACTGGTTCTCCCGCCTGCCCAGCTCCTCCGGCACCCCCGCAGCCTCTCAGGACCCCAAGCCCCCATGCCTTGGCTCCCCACGTTGCCCGCCTGGCCCTTCCCCGCTGCAGGCTCATGGAAGGCAGTCTGAGGGGCAGGCCTCTGAGCTGCAGGGCCTTAGGGCTCCAGGTTGGACCCCCTACCCTCAGGGGGAGAAGCGAAAATTCTCCCCAGGTGGGTCAGGTTCAGAGGTGAGCTGTCCCCATCACTAGCACCTATCATCAGAATTAGCATTGCCCCGGGGCCCTCCTCAATATCTCCCGGGACTGTGGATCCTCAAAGAGAATACATTTAAACTCATTTAAAGAACAACATTTCCAGCCCTCCGCCCGCCTTGCTCCCACTTCTGGCTTGGGGAGGAGGCCCGGGGGCTGGGCTAAGGACTGGACGCCATGAAAGACTTGGGAGGGAGAGTTCAGGGGCTTTAGGCCTCTCAGATTGTGATGTCAAATGTTATGAAAAACAGCCAGCCTGTGGGACAGTGTAGCAAAAGGCAGAAGGGAGAGCCCACTGTTGCCTCAATGCCTCTGCCCTTGCAAGTACCAGCCCTTTAGGAAGTGGTGTCTTCTGGAGGGTAGAGACCAGGGAGGCGTGTGCCCTCCAGTCCTGGGCACGAAGCACCCGGCTGGTGAGGGGGCCCTTCAGCCGGCCTGCACCCACCTTAGCCCCCCCCCCCCCCCCCCAGATTTCTCATTATTGTCAGAGGAGGAGGTGCTGTGGAATCCCAGGACCTTCGGAAGCCCCTCCCCAAGACCACGCTCAGGGGCGGCTGGGGGCAGAGGAGGCTCCGGATGCGAAACCTTCCCTGCACCAGCTTTTCCTTTCTTGTGCTCTCCCTGCGTTTCTATCAGAAAGAGCAGCCGGACCATCTGCCTCCCAGCATCCTGGTTTCCAACACGTCCTCACCATTTCAAACGCGTGTGCCCGTGGGTGTGACTAGACTCCAGGGGCGGCGTCATGCAGAGAGGGTCTCTTGTCAGCCAGGGGACTGCAAGCTGGACTCAGATGTGTCGCTGCTGGCAGGCTGGGCACCAGTGCGTGTGGCCTACAAACAGGATGTAGTCTGCTGTCCTCGAAGTGGGTCCCACACCCGGCGTTTTCAAGTAGCTGCTGGTGAGCCCCCAGCTCTCCAGAATCCGAGCTTCAGGAGGATGGAGAGTCCCCGAAGCCACACAGCCCTGCCTGGACCCAAAGGACAGGCATCATGGAGAAGGGAGTGCAGGTGGGAAAGGCAGCTGGTGGGAGGGCTGACCTGCTGGGCTCGCCTGCCAGGCTGACCCCCAGGACCAGCCTTTGTTCCGCTGCCGCCTCACTGTGGGGCGGTGCTCCTCCTAGTCCAGGGCTGGGAAGGCAGACGACGCTTCCCTGGGAGTGACCCAGGGGTTTGGGAGAAAGAATGACCTTCATCTGCAGTTGACGGCACGGCTGTGTCACGGGACCAGCGATGCTGAATGTTAAAGAACAGCTTGTGTCACCTCTTACAATGTAAGGGGGTAAAAGGATGCCAGTTCCTTCCAATTCCCTTTAATTTTAACAGCCGTCTTCCTGTTCAGGCTGTCACACTTGTGAGGTCTGGAACCTCTCAGAAGATCAGGTGAACCTTCATGTAATTGCCCTCAATTTTACTTTATAAAACATCAGTACAACCAGCGCCGGGCAGGAATGCACATATTTTAACCGCACCGAGCCCCGGATCCCTCTTCCATCTCCACTGCGGCAGCTTCCTTCTCTCTCAGCAGATTGGACTGAGTCGTTTTTGTCTTTCAAATTATGTCCCATGTTCAGGAATTGTAAGCTCAGGCTGGGGAGTCAGCCCGACCTTGGCTTGAACCCTGCTTCCAGCAATGGACCCTGAGTCAGGGATCCCATCTCTGAGTCCCATTCCACCCTCAGCTGGGAAGTGCTTTGACGTATTAGATTTATCAACTAATCCGTATCCTATTTCCTCACCACCCTGCGGTAGTTCACAACTGAAATTTGCCTCAAACTCTTAAAAAAATTAAAGCAACATCAGGGCATGCAGACTGCCAATAGTTGTGGGGTTTTTTGTTTGTTTTTAAGCTGGCGAATGCAGAAGGTGTGAGCTTCAGCTACAGGTGGACTTGGGTTTGAATTCTGGCTCTAGTCCCAAGCTGCTGGGTGGCAGGCTGCCTAACCCCTCAGGCCTCAGTTTCTCATCTGCAAAGTGGAGCTCAGAGTGCCCATCTTCACCATCCTGGGGCTGAGATAACGCACGCACGGCAGGGACTGACTGGGTGGTGTGGTTGGTACCGTAACCGCACAATGCTTCTTTTCCTGGGTGGGTACATTTAACAAACAGGTGTGAGGGAACGGATGAAGGGCTCCTTGAATGTCAAATGTAGCCACTGGGGTCACCTAAGGGCGTTCTAAGTGTCATGGTTCCATCTGCTTTCTTGTACCTTCACAGAAGGCAGACTGTCAGAGCCTGCGTGGGACCACGCTAACAGCGGCCGTCGGCGTTGGCACGAGGAACGGCGTGTGACCGGCCAGCCTGTGGTGTCAGACGGGCTCCGGTTTGAATCCCGGTCCTGCCACTTACTCACCGTGTGGCCCTGGCTGAGTTCACTCGACCTCCGTCTCCTCCCCTCCCCACGGGGGTGAAACGAATTATTGCACATAGGGCACTTCGCACACTTCCCGGCACAATACACGCCAGCTCATGTTATCAGGGTGACAGAGAAGGTTGCGTTTCTTCCTCTTTACTAGTCTGTTTTGATTTTCAGGAGTTACACTGCAGCAAATAAACAGGAAGCTTCCGTGAGCTGGGGGTGCGATGAGGTACCACCTTAGGGTCACGTGGTGGGTCTGGGCATCGGTCATTCCTCCCGCCACCCCTCTCCTTAACTGTGACTGTGACGCCATCTAGTGGGAAACGGTAGCTTATTTCCTCCAGCGGCCCCACTTGCTAACAAACACCCCCTTATTCATGGTACAGAATGGGCAGGTTAAGTCCTGTTCCTCGCCCATGAAGAAGGTAATGAAATAGATAAGAGGGAAGAAGTACTGAGAATCCATAGCTATCAGTGAAGATGTTTTGGAATAAAAAAATTTTTTAAAGATGTGACCTTCCCTTTACAAATGAAACATTTGCTACCGACGGTGTGTTTTATTATAAAGCTTTAAAAAATATTAGAAATTCTAATGCCAACGTTTATGAGAATTCTACTGAGTATTTTTAACGCAATGCTAGTAAAAACACAAGACTTTATAGTAAGTGTTGGCATTTTATTTAAGAAAAAGCCCTGTTGTGTTCAACACCATGAATGCTGCCTTGATTAAAAAGAGAGAGCCCTGGCCAGGTGGCTGGGTTGGTTGGAGCTTCATCCCGTCACCGAAAGGTAGCGGGTCCGATCGCTGGTTGGAGCGCGTAAGTCGGCGCACGCATGGGAGGCAAACGATCGATGTTTCTCTCTCACAGGAGCTCCCCGAGTTAAGACTCAAAGGCTGCTTCTGCACATTAAGAAACAGGAGGACAATTCGTGTGGGAACCAAACAGTGTACGGAGTAAGCTTCTCGGAGAGGGAGGTGCATGGCAGCCCTGGGTCCCCGAGGAGGAAGCGAGTGGGGAAAGACTCCCCCTGTGTGTCGGGGCCACTGACTCCTAGTCTGACTCCCCCTGGGGTGCAGCAGGGGTCGGGGGGGGGGACACCTTGTGTCAGGAAGCGGCGGGCGCCACCGCCCAAGCACTTAGCCGCCTGTGGACATGTCAGCGCCATGACACAGGTGTCCCCAGTGGGGACCCAGCATCAGAGGCGAGCAGCCCAGCCCAGGGAACTCAGTCCTGCAGATGCCTTGACTGAGGAAGCAGGAGACTGGAGCGCGACGTGCTCCCACTCAGACCCGCCCTCTGCTGGCGAGCTGGTGCCCCAGATGGCCAGACTCCCCTTTCCAACGATGGATCACTCTGGCGGGACAGGTGACCAGGTCATCAAGTCAAAGCCAGACGGATACAAAGGTTCCTGCAAGGAGTTCCCTGGGGTCCGGAGTCTGCCATGAAGGGATCACAGTTTTATTTTCCAAGTCCGTCCTGTGGGCCAGTTGCCTCCCTCTGTGGGGCGACCGTTGGGGTGATCAGGGGCGTTGGGGGGGCCCGCTGGCACCTGCCTTGGCTGGCCTGGGGCCTGTGGGCTGGGGGCAGCT